AGTAATGCAGTCCTGAGTAAAACTAGCCCAGGCAAGCAACCCCCAAACCCCCCACCCCCACGGAATGCAGGATAAGTTGAAGAGGGACAATGTACATTTAAATTGATTGGATAATGGGAATGGTGTGGCCCAGGATGATTGGACTGGAGGCACCAGGAAATGAGACATCTATTCCTGGAAACCTGTCCTTGGGTGGTTGAACTGTGACTCAGGCTGTGATATCTGTTGATCTTTGAATCCATTTGCTAAGTTGAATTTGCACGGGCTATGACATATGTAATGGCCAATAAGGCCTATATATTCCCTGACATTCCTTTGGTCGGGGTCTTGCCCAAACCCTCTGCTGCGTGTCTGGCAGGGAACGGCTTGCCAGCCCAAAAAACTCTACTTTGTGAATTGCATTCTTGTGTGATGCTCTGTCTTTCGTGGTAATAGAGTTCTCAGACCCTAACATTTGGGGGCTCATCTGGGATCTTGCTTCTGCAAAGGGACAGATCCTCTGCAAGAAAAGTAGAGCCTATTTCTGGATCCTAGGATTTTGGGAATTCTTTGAGAGTGTTCTCCACGCTCTCTTTTGGGCCTTGGTGGGGTACCTGGCCAGCCCCCAGGGAAGGATGGCCATTAGGCTCTCATTTGGGGAGACCTGGTGAAGGAAGGTCTCATTGGAAGAGGTGCAACCACCTCTATCTGGGCTCGTGCACGATGGGGTTTTCTGGAATCCTGGAGCCAGGTGACGAACAGATTGAACTGATTGACCGACCAACTGTACAGTGGACACCATTTGGACTAATTTCCAAGCCGAGCGGTGAGGAAAGTGTGTGTGGCGGTATGCACCCGTGCGAAAGAAGGACTGGTCCGAAAGTGTTGGAAGTTGGTGTGCGTGAGCGGGTGCGGTGTTGCTGTTATACTTCTTGTCTTTTTCCTTTTAACTGTTGGTCTCTTGAGCTGTTTCCAGATGGGGCAGACACAGCCCACCCTCACCCAGCCAGGGAAACTGGTTCTTTTTTTTTCTCTTGAAGTCGTCTTCTGTTCTATTCCAAAATCTAACTTTGCTGATTCCCCATTTGTTTGTCTTTATGTAAATAAAGGCTGGTACCCCCTGGTTACCATCCCTGCACCAACTTTTACTCCCTTTTGCGGACTCTCACCCACTTTCCCTTTTTCTCTGTTAAACATTGTATAAGTGGTTAAAATGTCCTTTTGTTTCAAGGAAATTGGTTTCCCCCTCAGTTTGAAAAAAATATTAAACATTCCTAGGCTTTATTTGCTTATCTTAATTAACCTTAAAACTGCTATCTTCGGGTCTAGGTCTTCTGTAATAGTTAAAATTAAATATTGATTCTATAAAAAAAATTCCTTGAGGTTTATCAAAATCATTAAAACATCAGTTGTAATGGCCTAAAATCTAAGTTATTTAAACATCAAGCCATTAAAAGTGTGTGTAACCTAAAATGTTACTAAATAACTAAAATGAAATCTGTTTTGTCTTCACAAAATATGTCTAAATTCATGTCTATGTTTTGCTCCTTATTGTGAGGAAAATTACCTTCAGGTTTACCCTGCTCTATACTGTAAAAGCTAAAATTTTATAATAAGTGAGTAAAGTGAGCTGTGTGTTTAATAAGAAAGAAATATGTTGGAGATAGTCTTTTGCAGGTCTTGTAAAGAAAGATAGAAAGTGTTGAAGGTCTGAGAGCAGTGAAAATGCTATGTGCTGGAATGAATTGCTAGACTTAATATCAGTAATTATGTAAAACCAAACTTTAATTCTCTTTCATCTATGGTAACTCAAATATTCTTAAACTGCTCTGATTCTGATCAAGAACCATATAAAGACCCTAATAGCAGCAAGCATGTGATGAAGAAACCGTGCTTGTTTCTGACCCTGGACTGGTTAAGGCAGATGTGGATGAGGTAGGTGAGGTGACTATGGCAGTGTTTATATTGATTTTGATTTTGCTCATTTCCTCCCAGATTTGTCTGGCAATTTCTGACCCTTTTCCATGGGTCATGTCCAGAAGGTGCTTTAGTCTTGTGGCAGCTTTCAGGCCTTGCTTTGGGCCAAACCATTTTGGGTGGACTTTTGCCCATGAGGGGATGGGTAACTTCAGGTGTTTGATTTAGAAGTTATATTCTTTGTGTTCCATATTGTATATTCACTGTATTAAAGTCCCTTTTCATTGTTGCAGCGGATGGCAGAACCTACTTAGAGCAGGCAGGTTTTTGGGTCTTAGCAGGCAGGTTTTTGGGGCTTCAGGGGTGCCTCTCTCTCCTCTGTCCTCTAATAGATTTGCTGTCCTATAACAGATTTGGCACCCAATGTTGTAGGATTAGAGCCATCTGTGGTTAGTCAGCCCTTTGGGGAAAGTTGGCTTCCCCATGGCACTGACTACCTAAAATGTATATGTGGTTTTGTTTCTAGTTTTTTCAAATGCAGGTTTGTTGTTAAAAAACTGGCTTGGCCTTGTGAAAATTTCTATGTGTAAGTGTACAATTTTGTTGTAGTCACTTGATAAGAGATTTGGTTTTATGAAAATTGTTTAGCAGTTTTACTCAAAAGATAATATTTTGGACCATGTGGACAGATCAAAGATGGCGTCTGAGGCCCTTGGCTGGCTTCTCTGAAACTTGGAAGTTTTTGTTCTTTTGGGCTCCTCCTAGGATTTTCTACTTCCTTTGTTAACTAAAGTTAAGTTGCTAGGACTTTGGATTTTTTCTTTTGTGACCTCTGCTGTTTTGCAGATCTTGTTAGCATTTCTAAAAGCAATGATGGGTTTTTCAGAGGTAGGTTCCTTTGACTTTGACTACTCCCTGATCTCTTCCTAAGAGGTTTGCACACCAAAAATGGAGCAGTGGTGTTTAAATTAGCAAATATATGCTTGGATGCAAAGAAAGACTAAGCCTTGAGCAGTAACTGGTAAATACTGGTAACCTTAATGGATTCTTGGAGATAGCTTGCATTTTTGCAAAGTTTAGATCAGAAAAATTAGAAAAGAAAATACTGAGTCTAAAGGGTTTGCTGTTGTGAATTTTGTCTACACAATTTGGGGCATATTTGCCATTTGAATTCTGGATCTGTTTGATTACTGGTGTAAGACAAAATTCTAAGATTCTGTTTCCTACTGAGGAAGGTCTAATGTCGGAGACTTTGTCTCTGATCACGGATTATTGGGGGGCAGAAGAGGCAGGGTCTCAAGGTGGGAATGGTGTTGGCGAGCGGAGATTCCTAGAAAAAGGGGAAAAAGGGAAAAAAGGGGAGCGGGCTCGAGGAAGACACGGGAATGGGAGTTGGGTGCAAGTCTTCCTGCTCTGCCTTCAGCAGAGGTTTATTTTATACACTTCAGGCAGGCCAGAGGTATTACATTAGCATATAAAATGGGCTGAGATCACAATCACCTTTTTGCTAAGAACAGTCTGGGTCGTTTTGACCTTCAGGTGAGATTATAACATTTTAAAAAATTAATCTATCAAAGTTAAAACAGGTACACAGATTCACAAAGTTTAAGACTAATATTACTATATTTACCACAGCGAAGATTAACCAAAATAAAGTCCCTGAAACATTATTTATTACTTAAAGGCTTTCATTCTCATAGAGACATCCTAGGGGGTAAAGTAAAGTGAGGGTAGGAAGAGGAAATTTCTTGTAAATCAAATTAAGGTAAGGTTCTTTGAAGAACTTGTTAAAAGGTTTTAAGTGAGTTTTCTTGAAGTCTAGATGATAGAAAACCTGACTAGCTCTGTTTAGACGACTTGTGTGAATTTCCATATCCAAAGACTAGATAGTAGAAAGCTTGAGTGGTTATTTAGAAACTGAATAAAAGGCTATGTGAGATAGAGTGATAAGATTTGGGTTTTACTCAGTCAGGCAGTGAGAGAGACTTTGCAGTAACAGCCATTTGTCTTTTATTAATCAGCCAGTTGTTTAGTGACTTTTGACTTTAAGAGGAATTTCTCACCCTGGTGCAGTACTTGCTTGTCAGGGCCAGGTAGCCCTTCTGAGGCTGAGGCAATCCAATTGTAAGCTGAAGGTTTCTCAGAATATTGTGATATTATGATTAGACAAAAAAGGAAGGTCATAACATAAGTTAGCAGTGGAAAGTATGATTTTTCAGAGCTTTTCCCGATCTGTAACTGGGTGGTCCCTAGGAGAAGGGAAGTTCCAGGTTCCCTGCCCCACCCAGAAGGAGGGTGGAACTGAGCAGAGAAAAAGGAGAGAGAAGAGAGAAGGAAGACAGATGGAGAAGG